TGGAGGAACCACTATAAATCACGGCTTGATATTCTCTTCCCTCTCTTTTTATTTTTCTGCACTATATTACTCTTGTTTATTCTGCATAATAACTTTTAAATTGCTAGCTGGGATTACAAATGACACAAAAATTAATATTTACTTTTACATTTTCTTATACAAATTTATTGCAAAAAGTATCATTAACATGTGCTCTTAGAAAAATCTATAAACAAAAATTGAATGTTTGACCGTTAGGCAATTAACGGTCAAAGTTAACAGCAAAATGGATGACATCCAATTAAGGATGACATTGAACAAAAAAAGTATATTAGAGGGATGTCATTTATGGTGTCAGAAAAGTAGAGGAATGACATTAAATATTTCCTTAGTAGAGAGATGGTAATGAACATTTTGACAAAGTATGAGGATTATGGTTTTAACCCATAAAGAGATGCGTATTCCGCTTTGGGCCTCAAAAATCTAAATATAAAAATTTTGAATCACTACTCTGCTCTGTTTTTCTACTCTCCTTTTGTTTCTTTTTTCTCTCATTTCTTCTACTGTTATGAAAAGAAGATTATGAAATGAAAAGAATATACTTGCTTTGGTTAGTTATCATTTCATTTAATTTTTGTACTTTATGAAGTTAGTGGACAAATTTATTTTACTTTATTTCTTATGTTGTTTTCTAGTTTTAATTGTGCACTCTTTTTAAGTGTTTTATTTTAAAAAATTTATTAATGAACTTAAGTATCCCGACACGCCGCATAGCTGAGTGCAGAGTGCTAGTGTAGAGATGACAATTTACTTTGATTTTTACGGGATTTCGTGAGAATTTTTACCACGAGAATAAAATAGAGAGAAATATTTTTTTCTATGAGACAAGGATAAGGGATATTTTTCCTTTGAGAAATTTTGCGATGAATTTTTTCTATCCTGTTGGGTTTGTGGGGATTCTCATCCCCGCAAAAATTACAAAATTATATAAATTAATTTTATTTTTAATTTAATTTAATTATTAAAAATAATTCATAATTTATAAAATAATAATTATTTATTATTTAATAAATTAAAATAAATTTATAAATAAAAAATTTAATCAGTTGTCTCTCTAGAGTCTAACGTT